ATGACATGTTTTTCCAAAACCTCACAGAACACTGCGAAGGTGGTGGTGTACACCTGGCGAATGCTGTGTATTCGCAGCCCACCAAATATGTAATCTCTTTTGACGTTTATTGAGATAAACAGATGGGTAGCACGTAACTTTTTTTGTGACATCTGTACTGTTGGTAATAACAAATCTGGTAAAGGGCCAAATTAAGGACTGGCGTTTGGTATCACCAATGAAAATTGTTTTACACACAGAATTTTGGCAATCAAATGTATACTGCTAGATTGGGAATTTATACATATGTACAGAGCAGTATCATCTGAAGGGGCGTGGTGAGATGACTATGTTTCTGTTTAGTGTTTGCTGACCAAATATGACAGTGATATTATGCTAATAATTTTTTATTTGTTTCACAGTGTCAACATCCTTCGAGGAGACAGTTGGAATGAATATCGTCATTTATTTTATGGATACCAAATTAATTCTCAATGACATAACGAGTTTGTTTCCTAGTTTGAAGAAACAATTAGTGTTTTATGTGTTTTTTTTTTGTTGAGGACAATTTTGTTTGCCTTTACCCATTAAACAGCGTGCGCAAAACTATTTTTGATTCACATATCAGAGTGATTATATTTGTATTCCAGTCAGTCCTCTAACTACAGATGTATTTTTTGTTATTTTAATAAATATTTTTTTATTATCCTGAAATTCATTACTAGTCAAACTGATGAAAGAAATACTTCCTTTATTGAGGATGTGTTATGCATCTACGATCATCGAACTGCCTCAATATCGGGAAGGTCGTCAGTCAGATTTCGTAATGTAAACAACTGAAATCGCCGACACATTCCTGACATTCCCCATATGCGTTGTCGGCATACTTTCAATATTTTTAGTTCCACCAGATTTCCAGCCAAGAAAGGTAGCGCTGCCGTCGTTATAGTCCAAGAAATATCTTCAGATCTGCTCAGGAAAATATTCGGATTCGGACTTTTTGCATGTTATTCGAAAAAGCCTCCTAGTAACAAATCTACATGTTGTCAGGCTCCAAATTGCGTCTCTAATTGTTTGAACAACTTTTTCAAATAAATTACAAAAATTAATGTTTTCGGTTCATCAAAGGTAGCATTCGTTTTTTTTTGATACTCCGAAACAAAACGATGTTTGACAATGTTTGTCAAAAGTTGATTTTGTACGAGATGGGAAAGTACAAAAAATTGATTTTGCGATACCGAAAAACGATCTGAAAAAACGAAAATGTTAATGTCGCCATACTTCATAAATAACCATTAACGATACCTTTTAGGAGATAGACTATACATTGAGCGCGCATTCAAATGCTCTGGCGGTTTTGTTATAGGTTGGTTGAAGCATGTGTGAGATTTGGTAACATCAAAATATTCATTTTTCATATTGTTTTTAGGGTAGCAAATGACATATTTTGAGTTTTTACATTGCTTATACCTGTATATATCAAGTCTAGAGAAAAGTTCTAAAGCTCATTTTATATTCAGAATGTCCTAAAAACCGCAAAATACTTTAAACAAAGCGAACAAATCAATTTTTGGAATCGGTTTAATAATTTTTGGAGCAATTTTGGGCCTAGTCACATGCAGATTCTTTAAGAGGTCCTTGAATCAGATTATGCAAAAATAGGATTCGGAAGAGTTTTCCGAGCAGATGTTCCGATATTATCTGGACTATTATCCGAGTTGTGAGACTAATTACCAGTGCATTGGCGCAAGCGTGTGGGGAGGGGCCACTTGTCAATGTCAAGGCTGGTCCGCCAGTCCACGTGACACATAAGCCACAAACCACTCTTTCATCTGCTACCTTGACGTTAAACATATGATTTTGTTAGTGTGTTTAATGTTGGCAATCCTGGCCGCGCATGCGCTTTAAATGCTCATTTTCTTAAGTTAAGTTACGTTAAGTCTTGCTTGAACCCACCATAAGATCATTGAGTTATACAAAGATGGTCAACGTCAAGTCGACACTGCAAAAAATTTGAAGCTGAAGCGTAAAGCAATTTGGGCAATATTGAACAAATATAAACAAAAAGGTATCTTGGAAGCCTCTAAGAGAAATGGTCGGCCTAGAAAACTAAATGCTAGATGAGTTAGATTAATAAAAGTAATTTCGTCCAAAGATCCATTTAAAACCCCTAGACAAATAAAAGTCGAAATCGAGACAAAATGAATTGTCAGTGTTTCTACGAAAACTATAAGTAGGAGATTAAATGATTTGTAGTTATTTGCACGTCGCTCGAGTAAGAAGCCGCTAATCTCGAGGAAAAGACGTAAGGACCGATTACAATTTGCACGGTTGCATCTTGATTGGAGCATCTATGACTGGAAGAGGGTATGTTTCAGTGACGAATCCAAGTTCAATATGTTTGGATCAGATGGTGTTCATTACGTTAGTCGTCCTAGTGGACAAAGATTGAACCCCAAGTACACTTTGACCACTGTCAAACATGGAGGCGGGTCTGTTATGGTTTGGGGGTGCTTTTCAGGGTTTGGGATGGGACCTTTACATAGAATAGATGGCATTATGGATACGTTTGTATAAAGACATACTAAAGCATGTCATGTTACCCTATATGGAAGACAATATGCCCTTAAGATCAATCTTCCACCAAGATAATGACCCGAAGCACACTTCAAATCTCGCAAAGAAATTATTTCTGGATGAAAAAATACCAGCTCTCAAATGGCCTTCACAGTCCCCCGATATAAACCCCATTGAGAATCTATGGGAATACTTAGATAAGCAAATACGAGATAAAAATTATTGAAACAAGGATAAACTCTTTGCAGCTTTAGAGCAAAAGTGGAGACAGATTGATGAATCTTATATCAAGAAACTTCTACAATGTATCCCGAGACGATGCCAGGCGGTGATTGATAATAATGGTTATGCTACAAAATATTAACACAAACATGATCAATTTTCTATAATAGTTTTGCTTTGTCTATATATTTTTGTCCTTCATAGTTCCAGCTTTTTTCAGTTAATTTTTTATTGAAGGGAGTCTAATGAATTTATTTATGTATACGTGAGTATTATGCTATAACGAATTATGTATACAAGTTGGTGTATTAATAAAACAACCAACATACTTATGAAGGAATGGTTTGTGACAAATAAAATTCAAGTTTTAAAATGGCCATCGCAATCATCGGACTTGAACCCCATTGAAAATCTTTGAGAGATAATTGAGAAAAATATTCGAACCAAAAATATCAGCAATCGTGCGCAGTTATTTGAAGAGATTGAAAATGCTTGGAAACCAATGGATCCAGCTGTAATTTCCAAACTTATTGGGTCGATGCCAAATAGATGTCAAAAAGTCATTGAGAACAAAGAGTGCTGGACGAAGTATTAGTTTAGTTTCATTAATATAGGATACAAATGTAAAAGGTTGTCCAATAGGGACGCAGGAAAGTAAACGTCAATTTGACATAGACGCCATCTTTGTTTTCTGTCACCGACATGTCATTTTGTTAGTTGAATGTTTACCATTGATCGCTATGGAGTCGTATTCGATTGAAGACCGCATTAAAGTTATTCAAGAGCACTACAAAAATGGTGCAAAAATAAAAAACACGTTTCGCGCGCTTCGTGAACATTTCGGTCGCAACAACCGCCCAAACGAAACAACCATCGGTCGTCTGATGCGTAAATTCGAGACAACAGGTTCTGTGGCAAATCTGCCAGGCTCTGGCCGGCCAAGGAGCGTTCGCACACGGGAAAATATTGCTGTTGTGAAGGAGAGTGTGAGAGACGATCCGAAACAATCAACAACGCATCGACCCCAAGAATTGGGTATTTCGAGAACCAGTTTGCTCCGCATTCTCCACAAGGATTTGAATGTACACGCCTACAAGATCCAATTGACGCAAGAGCTGCGTCGGGCCGACCATTTTTCGCCCCGAACGTTCTCAGATTGGCTCCTTGAACACCGCCAAATTGATGCCAATTTTTCATCAAAAATCATGTTCAGCGACGAAGCGCATTTCACTTTGAATGGGACGGTAAACAAGCAAAACTGCCGCATCTGGGCGAACGAAAATCTCCGTGAGTATCAAGAGCAGCCGATGCATCCTCAAAAAGTGACTGTGTGGTGTGCATTGTGGTCAAAAGGCATCATCGGACCTTACTTTTTCGAAAATGCGGCCGGGGACGCCGTTACCGTCAATTCTGAGCGATATCACGCGATGATAGAGGACTATTTTTTGCCGCAACTCGAAGGAATGGATATGAACGATGTTTATTTCCAACAAGACGGTGCAACATGCCACACAACCAACGTCAATATGCATCGATTGCAGTCCTTCTTCGGTGATCGCGTGATTTCGCGCAGAGGAAATGTGCCATGGCCACCAAGATCGTGCGATTTGACTCCCTTGGACTTCTTTTTATGGGGATATTTGAAAAGCAAAGTCTACGTCAACAAACCAGCCACCCTCCAAGAACTCAAAAACAACATCATTGCCGAGATAAATGCCACAGAACCGACCATGTTGCAAAATGTTATTGATAATTTCGACCATCGCGTGGACGTCTGTAAATCCAGTCGTGGTGAATATTTAAGCGATATTATTTTTCATACATAAATGGTATAAATGAACCTTCAAAATAAAGTACCAAATTTGATTTGAATATCAATCTTTCTTGTTTTAATATGCGTTTACTTTCCTGCGTCTGTTTTGGACAACCCCATATTTTAAGGATAAGTCTTTTTAATTTTGTCTCATAGAATTTTTGTATTTTCTCTAATAAATCTTTGGAAACAACGTTTATGAATTTATTTTAGTACGGCCTAATGACATAAATCTTTTAGCTCAATTACAAAAATTCAAAATATTTCTGTATTCCATAAAAGTCATAATTAGTCTAGTCTCTTTAATTTTGTCCGATACTGTATGTCACATGATTAGATCGACATGCAACTTCACGAATTCTACTGTATCATTCTTCGCACGTTTTGTGCGGCATCTTTTGTAAATCACCTTAATACAGAACCAATCGGCTGCTACCTTGTAATTTGCTGGTTTTTCAGCGGATAAGCCCTCCTTAGGAATACTATACTGCATGATTGCACGATAGTGGTCTTGAAGCATAAGCACTCCCTGAAAAAACAAAAACAAAAATATTACTAATCCGAACCAGGGAATACCAACCCCTCTCTTCAAAGAGACCTTTCGGTTTTCTTTCATTCAACGGTTTCCCTTGGCTGACAATCCTACATTTACGAGTTTTACACAACAGGTCAGCTATTTTTGAATAGACTACTAACACTGAATATCAGCTGATCCAAGAACCGTCAGAATTACGTCAGTCCAAAAATGGCGCAAATCTGTCTGCCATGAGATTTCACCACAATAACATTCTAGTCGGTGATTGTCAAATTGTATAGTACTCGTATTCGGGGTAACATACCTACTGTCCAGAATGTCTTTTTTCCGATTTATATCTACAAAAAAGGTATTCTGGGGCTCAGTTTTGCAACAACCAGCTTTTGGTCTAGTCAATTTTAGGTACTTTACATTTTTTGCTAAATCGCTTTGAAAATATAGTGCTCCCAAACGGAGAGAATATTGTTCAGTATAACGTGTGCATTTTGTTTGAAGATGTAAAAGAACGAATAATTTTCAAGTGCCCAAAAATCCGTATTACTTTAACAAGGAACAATTGCAATTTAGATTTCATGGAAAACTAATAAGAATATTTTTGTAACTTCGCAATACCAAAATATGTGGTAAATGAGATTTTTTACTTTGAACAATATGCTCCCGAAATAGGAACACAAAAGCTATATACAGTAACAAATGAGATAGATCGTCCAGTTCTTGCGAATATAGTATGGTAAGTCTTTTAAGCTGGTATACTATTAGTTGTTTCATGTTAGGTTTCATATCAAATGCGAATACCTAATGAACGTCCAGTTTATTTATTTTGTAAATTGAATCATGTTTCTCGTAGTAGTCGTCGAATTTTGGTAGAATTTTTTACTGGTCATTCTATCCAATCTGTCACCAAGTATGGTGTTTGTGGTAGGCAACACTCTATTACATTTATTAAAGAAAGCATAAAGATGTCCCTCGCGTGAAAAGCTATCCAAAAGCCGCCACACAAAATTTATCTTTCTTTCACAACTTTTGAGCAACATTGGAAGCATCGCGGCACATGACGGAATTCTGATTCGGAATAGCCCAGGAATGTTAGATAATGTTTTGTATATTTGTAGAGGACCCTCTCAGGACAACTTTTTATTGCTTACTTTTATGTTCTACGTGATTGTTAAAAATCGCTGAAAATATCCTATTTCGCACTCGTTAAAATTCATCCCACTTATCCCAAATTTTGCAGTAAGCCTAATCAAAGCTTATCCCAAGAATTTTTTCATAAATCAGCCAGCAACAATCAATGGCACAGAACTTTTTCTAAATATTTCGGATAAATTGTAAAGAATTATAAGAAACAAAAAATAATAACAGTAGTAAAACAAAAAAACATTTCCATTCCAACCAAATTGCTTTTTATTTTACTGTTTATTTTTTTTTTAATCACTTAGAATTGCTTTTTATTTTACTGCTGTTTGCTATTTTTTATAATTGCAATTTATCGTTTTTTTAGCTTATTACTGTTATTTTTTGGTTTTTTGCTACTGTTGTTTGTTTCAGTTTTTTGCTTTTGTGTTTCATTGAAAATGTATATAAATTTTCCACTTTTAATATTTTTCCCTAAATAGGGAGCCCAATCCGGCAACAGCGCAGGCAAGCGCCTCTCATATATGACATATCCACAGACGTCAATGTTGTAATATGGCAGATAGCGGGAAAAAATGCATAAAACGCGTGCCTCATCCACACTTTTTTTTATTTAAAATAATCTATCAGACTTCCCTCTATAAAATTCAAGTGAAAGAACAGTAAAACCCGAAGTTTTACAGGACCCAACAGTACCCATATTACAGCACCAGATATACTGCTTAAAACCTTGATCAAATGTCTTATGTAGAATGAACAACTAATCTTTATATCAAAACTATCTACTAAAGACGAATGCTCACGAGCAGAAAGTTTTTCATTGCTTCCAGTCGTCTTTTTGGAGAACCGCCCATTTTTTTTTTTTTGATTATGAAGCAGTACGTGCAGAATGTTTTCATTATCACTCAAATCGGATCATCAACTTGAACTATTATAGGAATCTAATATGTCCGTGAGCAATACAAACAGGTATACACAATCAAAACACTAGTAGAAACTGAAATTTATAAGAATAGTTACCTGGTTCCAACTTTTTCGGCTGATGCAGCTGCAACGAAACTACGAAACGCGTCCACTCCCTAACACAATCCGAACACCATAAGCGGAAACGATGAGGCACGCCTAAAAGACCTTATGAGATCTGCGCATGTCAGGATGTCCGAGTACCATAGCCGCTTTCCAGTGCCTCATTTGTCTTACTCGGAGCTATCCAGCACCTGTCAATACCGGTCCAGTGCTGTAGAGTGTCATGCACCTCAGCTACTCATTTTTTAAATTCCCTGCCCCCTCATGCACCTATTTTATATTCGGTGTTATACGCTCCGAAATAGTGGGGATAAAGAAAATGACAATGTGTCAATATTGTAAGGTTATTTTTTTTTTCATCGTTTCGTATCATCAGTCGTTCCTACAACTGTAGGAACCTCCTTGATTTCCATAGCCTTTAATCTCATTCACTTCAGAAAGGCTTGGGTATTTCTAGATTTCTAATGTTTTGTGACAGCGCTCTCCTATTGTGAGACTATAAGGATTTGTTCGCGAGTCCACGGTGTAGCACAGTGCACTACCGGGAACGGATACTCAAATTTTTGCGAAGAACGGGGATGGGGGAAGACGGATGTGACGTCGTCCGAAGGTCAAAAAATCACGTGGTACGAGTACCCGCCTAAAGTCTGTGAGGTAGTAGCGGGTGACAGGTCTTATGTCAATGTCATTTAAAAAACAGGCATCTCAATTGAAAATTTGTCATCGCAGTGCTGAAAATCGAGTTAAATTATTGATTAATAAATGGAGGAACACGTCCACCTGATTTTAAATGACGAGTGAAGATATATGAACCGCACTTGTAATATCAAATGATTGATTTTATTGATATATGTACAGTGCACAAAAAACGGTCGGTCTTTTTATTTCAGATTCAAACAAGGCAGCTAAGTTTATCAAGGAGCTTAAAGCAAACATTTTGCGCAACATGCGCCATCTAACCACTCCCGGTGTAACTTGAAACTGTCAAAACTTCGAGAGGAAGGGGAAATTCCATCTGTTTCCGCTACGGTTCACTACGGGATCTTGCGAAAAAAAACTCTTGTTTTCTTTCCGAATTGTAAGACATTTCAGGCCGATATAACAGATAATATAAATCAAAAGCATCAACAATTTGATGAAATTCGATATTTGTAACATAACCTCAAAATACAGCGCTGACACGGAACAGTAGAAAACTATGAAAATCAAAGAGGCCATAAATTTATTGTAGGAATGACTGACGATACGGCCCTTAATGTGTATAAACAAACTTCTGTTTTCTCTTTTTTTTTTCACTTTAAACTTCTAGAGGGTAGTCTGATAGATTATTTTAAATAAAAAAAAGTGTGGATGAGGCACGCTTTTTATGCATTTTTTTTTCGCTATCTGCCATATGACAACATTGACGTCTGTGTATATGTCATATATGAGAGGCGCTTGCCTGCGGTGTTGCCGGATTGGGCTCCGCATTCAGGGAAAATGAAAAGTGGAAAATCTATATACATTTATATTAATCAATGAAACACGAAAAGGAAAAACTGAAACAAACAACAATAGCAAAATAAAAAGTATAAAGTAGTAAGCTAAAACACGACAAATTGTAAATAATTATAAAAAACAAAAAATAGAAACAGTGATAAAGCAATACTATGTAGTTATAAAAAATAACAAACAGTAAAATAAAAAGCTATTCTAGGTGATAAAAAAAAAGTAAAAACAGTAGTAACATGAAAAACAATTCCATGTAATTATAAAAAAATGCTTTTTATTTTACTGTTTGTTATTTGTTTTTTTATAATTACACGAATTTTTTTTTTGTTTTTATTTTTTATAAGTATTGACAATTTACTGTTTTTTAGCTTACTATCGTTATTTTTTGTTTTATACTTATTAAGAATCGCTTTTTATTTTGCTACTGTTGTTTGTTTCAGTTTTTCGTTTTTGTGTTTCATTAATTAATATATATTATAAATTTTATACTTTTCATATTTTTCTCTAAATGCGAAGCCCAATCCGGCAACACCGCAGACAAGTAGATAATCTATGATAGGCAACAATTAATTAGGCGAATTCATGACCAGTGCATGATTAAGCTAGAGATAAATTTTGGGGAGAGGGGTGGTGGACAAGGGAACGCTTGATTTGTGATTATTTACAGGCACCAAATTTCACTGAAAATGCGAATATCGTCGCGGGGGGATCGACGACTGAAAAGGGGGAGAGCGGCTTGCATCAGTGCTCTCCAGAGTTGCCAGACGTACGAGAAATTTCGTATATGTACGAGATATGAAAAATGATGACTATGTCAATTGAATTTTCTGGAGGTAGGGCTGTTGCTTCTATCAGTTAGCATGTCTATTCTGTTTCTGACAATTTCAAATCCCGCATCCTCAGTGTTCTCAGCCTGAGGTCGAGACGAAGCAGGCTCATCAGTTTTCTTTGTCATTGTTACAGGCGGTCGCCCGTTTTGTCACAGATTTTTTAGTAGTGAAAGATGCTTCATTTGACTTTTATTAATTAACCGATAATTGAGATAGAGATGCACGTTCTTATAGAATAGAACGCATGTATTGTTCGAACATTTTTGTCTAGTATTATGACCTTGATCTACAGATTTCCAAGGAAATCTGTGATCGATATTGTCAGAAAGTTGTCTTTCTGCTTCAATTTTAACGGATCGCCAATAAAGTTTTCGGATATGGTTCCAAAGATAATCTGCTTTCTTCAAAAAATGCAATAATCCCATGTGTTTTGACATACCACAAACGCCATTCAATCATATGAAATAATACTGATAAGAATGACATTGAAAAAAAGCAAGTATCTAATGAAATAAAGGATTCATACTTATCGACCGCGAATATATCTTAAAGGTCTTCTTTAAGCTAAGATACCTGTTTTAACTCCATCCATTGCACGGCTTCATTCAGTGTGGCAAACTCTACAAAGGCGAATCCGCGGGATGCACCTAAACAGCACAATAGATACCAGTGGCATTACCCTAATCTTTTGACGTGTCGAATTCACAAACAAAACCTAGATAACCTTTGCTTGGACACTTGCACCGGCAATGTCACTAAATCGTTCTCCAACTCCCCATGAAATCTGCGCCTGTTCTGTTTGAAACGCTCTAATTATGTAGTTTTTTATAAAAGATCTATCACGGAAAATACGTATTTGACATATTAGCAAATTTTCCCGAAATAATTGTAAAGTTTGGTTTTATTGGTGCATGTTGTTCAAAGGGGGTATTTAAAACATGGACGTATAAAATGGGTACACCAATTTTTGTGGGAAAACTTTTTATTTGACAACACAGAATGAGAAAACGTGTTTTTTGCGATTCAATCGAAAGTGTTGACTAAAAAAACTTTTCATATAAGATTTTTAGGTATTTATGAGATCTACAAAATGATACCATAACTTTTTTGCTTATTAGTCGGATCTTTTTACGTATGGTCTCATAAATACCTAAACATCTTATATGAAGTGTTTTTTTTGTTCCTGTCAAGACTTTCGATTGAATCCCAAAAAACGCGTTCTCATTCTTTGTTGTCGAATAAAAAGTTTTCGCACAAAAATTGGTGCACCATTTTATGCGTCCACGTTTTGAATACCTCCTTGAACAACTTGCAGCAATAAAACGAGACTTTACAATTATTTCGCAAACCAGGGGTATTTTTGTCTAATACGATTAGGCTACACTGTTTCTGTGTTCAAAATACTTTGTCTCAGGATTTCTATGGTCGGAGGATCAAATTCATAGACCTCATTCTTAGTAGAAATCCCAAGGTGAAAGGTCAGAGCATCTAGGAGGCCAAGATATTGAACCATTTATTGAAATTATTCATCACACTGCTCTTTTTAAGAAGTTCCTGACTTGAATGGTGTTGTGAGCCGCAGATCCATCCTATTGAAACCAGGTTCTTCTGAACTCATCTTCGGTTAGATTAGCTCGTAAAGCCGGCACAAACTGGTTTTGAAAACGCTCTACATTTGATCCGTAATTCAACAAAGTTCCTGTAGCTAAATAGCAGATGCGTAAAATAAAAGTGTAACATGTCTACTATTTTTGTCCTGGTCTAATGCCCTAATATGTACGCACTATTTCAAGGATTGAATATCATGCCTGTATTTGTTCAATTCTAGGTTTTTAGAAAAACGAAATACGTTTCATTATATTTTATCTCGCAACATTTGTCTAATTCAGAACAGACCCAGATTCCATCTAAAATTGGAAGAAACCCCAGTCAGATGTATATCATTAAACGTTATGTTCAAGCCCGGGAGGATTACCTGTATCCTTTTTTCTGATCAGCCTAATGTCCTTGGGCATCAGCTCGCACTGGATTATGTCTTGACGAATCTGGAAAAAGTTTTACACTTTACCAAATATTTCATTTTTCAATTGGTATAAGTTCAAGGAGGCGCAAAATGAACGAAATCACTTGAATTATTTATGACGCGCCCGATTTTCAAAATCTACTTTCCATAATTTCAGGACCTAGTAGAGGAGACTTGGGAATTTGGTATCAAGCTGTACACCACGGAGCAGCGAGTCAAAATTGACGAACTTTATATATACTCTGTGACATTAGAAGTGAATTCACCAGGATACTGGGTGTATCCCTCAACCAAAACGTTAATAACATACGTAAGTTAATTTAAAATCATTTTGCACAATAGTTGCTATTTCTTCTCAATATGTTATTGCAGCTCCTGATGAAGATGGCAAAGTCCATTGAAAGCTAGAGATTAATAAAGTATAAAGAGTCCTCTTTGCTTGAATTTGTCGGAGTACCCAACAAAAGGCGGAAGCTTTATATATATATATATATATTATTATTCTTATCTATGTATCTGTTTACTGTGCTTAATTGATATTTCCTGTAATTGGGTGTATCTGTCTGTTGGAAGTAAAAATTATTACGATTATTATTATGTTAGGGTGTACCCTATAGATAGATAGATAGATATATTTATTGTCTTGTGAAAACAAAACAAACATAAGTATTTACAAAGTACAAACAGGAACAACTTGAGACGTACAGACATTCACATATAAAAAAGTTTTAAAGATATATCACAGTGCGAGGTATTCGGACAAAGAGTAGAAACGTTTTTCAAATAATAATTGTCGTAGTTCACGTTTAAATGATAAATAATGATACTTACATCATACTCTGATATATGTTGTGCCAGTCCTCGAATCATGATGGTGTTGTTTGGTGGTTGACTCTTATATCCTATTATCTCAGATCCGCTGGCACCAATCAAAGCTCCATTTGGACTTCTTTCGCTGTTAAAATTTAACACATGTATTAGGAATCAAGCAATACTCCACATAATTCCGAATTTTTTTCTACCTATCGCTTTCGCCGTCCCTGTATTTGTCCTTGTCACGTTTCCGATCTTCTGACTTCCTGTCTCTATCCCATCTAGAACCTGAAAGGACATACGGTTAGTTTTTAATGCTTTTTGTGGGAAAAATTATGTTTAGCCTACAACTTGATTGAAAACGCATGAATACAAAAACTTTTGTTTTTAGAGCAACGCACATTATATAGTATAAAATGCACCCTATTTACATTTTCATCATAATCTTGACAGATCTGGAGATTCAAATTCAGTGTATTTGCATACTAAATATTGTTTCCCTTCAAAGCAAGACTCATATTGTTGTATAACATCAGTTGTTAGAATTTCCAAAACACCTTTAGTTCGACTTTAACTATTATTTTGTAAAATGTTGATGACACTAAGTTCTAAATTGTTTTCAACTAAAATGCTCAAAGTTTACGTGTAATTGTCAGAATCCAATGATCGGCAAAATAGACACTTAAAAATAAATTTATATCTATCCTGCACTTTTTATCCACAAACGATGGATGATGGATGGAATGAATTTTAAACGACAGACATGATACTTCAAAAACGAATTTGGGAGGCAAGCATTCGAATTATTTTAAAGGGTAACCGTTAATGTAATCAAGTAACCACAAAATAATTACAAGAACGTGATCGTCTCCGAGATCTGCGATCTCTATCGCGATCTCTGTGTCTGTGGATTTGTCTTCTTTCTCGATCCCGTTCTCGTTCTCTGTAATCTGTACTTCCAGATCGGCTGTAATCTGTACTTCCAGATCGGCTGTTCCTGTCTCTCTCCCAAGACCTGTCTCTGTCTCTGGGTCTGGAATGGTGCTCCCAGTCGCTATCATAATCACTGTCCCGGGTGTCTCCACGATCACTATAATCTGGAAACAAAAAAAAATAATGAATTCAGGAGAATCTCCGTATTTCTCCACTTCGTAACGACGACAGGATAACGCATTTCAACGGTTTATAACAATCGGTATTTTATGCCCGAATCTAAGAACAATCTATACGCGTTACGCTGCATCCGATGATATTAGGTTGTTCGGAAAGTTCTTGCGGTTTTTATTATTTATATTTTAAATGATGTATTTTACACTAAAATTTATTTATAATACTTTGACTTTATATATGATTTTGTAGCGCGTTTTTCGCTCTCTATAGTCGTTGAATTCGTTTTGTTTTACGATTATTTTCCAGACTTCAAATATGACATGAACAAGGGGCAAATTCGCACAATTTTCTTATTCCAGTTCTAATTTGGTCAAAAAGCTGCCGAGACTGCTTGCGATATCAACGATGCATTAGGCCAAGGGACCACTAACGAACATACGACACAATGGTGGTCCAAGAAATTCCGCAGCGGTGACGAGAGCCTTGAAGATGTAAAGCGCAGTGGTCAGCCACATGAAGTCGACGACGACGAATTAAGGCCCTGCTGGAAGCAAACCCGCGCACAACTGTTCGTGAGCTTGATGTCCGACCACTTCATGCTTCAATAATCATGACAGTGCCAAAAATGCCCTCAATGAGTTCGTCATCTCCAGAACTGCGAATTTTTACGTCAGCTGCATGAATAAACTTATTTCTCGATGGCAAAGATTGTAATGGTTTTTATTTTTGTTAACAAAGGCTTGTTATAGCTGAGATATGCTCTTTGAATTTGAAAGTTAAAAATCGCAAGAACTTTCCGAACAACCTAATACAACCTGAGACCAGTAAGTGGTTAATTTCTGTCTCCTTTTTGGTGGAGGTTTCCCTATGAAGCAGTTTAGCATAACAAAATACGGCTCTGTCTACCTGGCGTTGACGGATCAGTCAGAATTTTGTGTCCTGTGTCGATATGGGAATTTTGAAGTATTACCAGATGACCAGCTGTCATTCTGCCGTGATGGATACTCGTGAAATAGGGTGAAGCTTCAAGCTCAATAAATTATAGAATTTGCCAAAATAGAATCATTGAAAAGGGTTTGGCATAGGAATTGCTACTCTATCATCAATAAAGAGAAATTCAAATGACTGGTAAGTGATCAAAACAGCAGAAAAAAAAGTTTTGTGATTTTGGCACATTTTCTACAATTTTTTAATATATATACATATATATTTCCACATTTTTTTACCGAAAAAAGCTATTATGCCACATAGCACTCATATACATATGAAGGGTACAGGGACAAACGATGGAATGTCACAAAAACAAAGTTTTATGTAATTAACATTTTAATATTTGAAAGTCAATAACTCTCTGAATTATCAATTCATTATACAAGTAGTTCATATGAACTTAAGTTTACATTATACAGCTTAGTTTTAGGCACATACAAAACTTATGCAGTGATAACTAATTGTAAAAGCAATCAAAAATGGAAGTAATTTGATTTGAAGTATAAAAACAAGGAATTTCCGTCATATCCAAAACAAAGAATCTCTGAAACCAATTAATGTTTCTAATTATACACGAGTAATGCTATCAAAAAAGGCTTGAGCTCCAGAAGAACACATTTTTTTAAGTACATGAGGTCCTCATAGTTCTCTGCACTAACGTAATTGAAACTGATTATTACATCAAGATTCATGCTGGATCCTCCTTTGTCTACTCAGTATAGGTTACTTTTCACAGAAACCATTGTACTTGGTTCGGTGCAAAATTTATCCTGGATGATATCTTATGCTCATTATTTCTCTCATTGTGACTGAATTGGAAAAGAGCACTTTTCCATGTAAATATCTTGGAAAAAGTTAGTAAACTTCTTGATGATTTCACCCAATCCCACTTAAATCACATCAAATGGTTTGGGCCTTTGGCAACTTATTCTGACATTATACCACTGATATGGAACTTCCATGGGGGTTTTCACCTCACTGCAGTACAGTTCTTGTTCTGTCAACCTGCTGAATCACAATAGATTTCCAGATGTTTCTCATGATGATCAGTCAAGTTTGTCAAGAAGTGAAACAGAAATGAAACTACTAATCTGAACTTTTGCAACCATATATTTCAGGATAGGTGTAAATGTACCAAACAGATATTTCTTTTAAAACATCATCTTTTTTTCACTCTTAGTTTGTAGCTAAAAAAAGTTTCGTGAAAATTGGCATATACCTCAGACTTTCTAGTTCGCATTCGTTATTGAACACACGGTAATTAAACTACATAAATAAATATTTTGTTCATCTGTGCTGTTCATGTTATTAAAGTCTTTTAATATTTTAACACAGTCGTCCAATTAACTCCTTTCAAAATACTTCAGTCTTTTATAATCATCTCCCAGCTCATGAGTAGACATTCTCAACTTCATTACACATCACGAATTCTTCCCGTCTTTTTTTTGTGTTTATCACATTATATTGGAAGTCTTCTTAGTCACTTAGGTCACTTTTATCCATATTGACTGTTGATCAACCTAAAATCATTATCTCATAAATAAGAATGTGGTAGTTTGTCGATTAACACAATTTTATCTAACCTCAACTAACAGGTGGACATTCCTTCTCACTTTCTGATAAGTTGTTTTGCCGTTCATATACGTAAACTTAGGCAGTCGGGACGTAGATTTGTGTTGCCTGTAACTATGCTTTATTTACTGAATCAAAGCAGTACGTCACAACGTCAAATAATGGCAGTGACGTACATGGTTGCCACATTAATTAAAACTACTAGATCCAAGGATGTCTTACAAAATCTACTACATGTCATGTCAATAATGGAGCTCCATGATCTCTTTCGGTCTCAAAATGCTTAAAAGGACACCTCAAAGTTTTGAAAAAAACTCTTTTTACAATATAACAATGCAGATATTGGTGCACAAAGAACGAAAATAAACCATAAATAAAAACAGCGGTCAAGCTTGGTGATAATGACACAGAAAGCTGTTACCAACATAAATGTATCCAGGAATTTCAAACTATACTTATCAATTTAGGATCTATTGTGCTTTAAGTTTGGCATTCAAATTTACTAAATATGACGTAACTGCTTTGTTTCAGTGAATAAACTATATGTAGGCATATAATAATAATAAACAAATTTATTCACATTTACAACCAGTAACTACAATAACTCATTTGAATAATAAATGTAATTGCAAAAAGGGCCAACATACAGAAAAAACTGATACAAGTGCTGACCCAATCGAGACAAAAATAATGAACATTATGTGAGGATTATAAGCAAAGTTGAGGGAAAAAATATCAATGGTTGAGATTAAATAAAAAAAAATACAGGAAAACAGTGACGGAGGATATTACTTCTGTCACATTAATTGTTGGAAGGTTTATTATAATGCTAATCAATATATGCGCACATTATTTCATTTTTTAGTTTGTAGTAGATACTTTTGTAGTCGACTTTGAATGATTTGGAAGATACGTTCTATATCCTATAAATATTAAATGTAAAAGATGTCTCAAATATAGAAGTTCGATGTAGAGGGGGAGAGATACGGAACTTGGAGCGAATATTTAAATTATGGACATCATGCCTAAATTTTATCCTATTGCATAAAAATGGAGGCGTTTTGGTGTAAACAATTTTATGGAATAATGTTGCTGTTTGAAATTTTCTTCTGGAAGCCATATTCGGCCAACCAATTTCCTCTAGCTCGTGTGATACTCAGTCAAACTTGCGGATGCCTAAAATGAACCTGAGACACGCTTTTTGGATTTTCTGAATTCGTCCGCAATCCATCTTCGTTGAACAGGGTCCATTCTCGACATGTGTCCGAGATCCAGAGTGAAGTCTACCCTAATCCATCTTAAGCCCATCATTTGCGACAGCTGAGCTGAGGTGGCCAAAAGGAAATTTTATCTGTGTATCGTCTGCATACAAATGAGGGGAACATTTATTTAAAACTTTAGTTATATTAAAAGAATATATTTGGAAAACCCACAACTGAACCTTGTGGCGTGCCACAACCAATCTTACATACAACGGATGTACTTTTAGATGTTTCCACAAATTGGTAACGATTGGATCAATGAGGTGAGTAATGAAATAACAGATTCAGGACATCTGATAAAATGTAATATAGAAAATAAAATTTGATGATTTATAGTGTCAAATGCTTTTAGGCAGGAGACAGATAAATTCTTCACATTCACACTTCTCGGGTTTTCTAGAGGCTTTCTAAGTAAATTTGGAATTTGAAAAATGAGACTGATAAACCATCCTAATTCGCGCGTCTGGATTATGTTCTGGACTTCTTGCAAGTCCATAGAAATTATGACCCATCTCCAGGTAAAAAACAGGTTCTTCAAGTGAATAATTAGCTAAGGATTGTATCTACTTGGCAAAATGAAGCAGCATCCAGACGCGTAAAACGACTATAATATTCTCCAATTTTATAATTTGATGTAGGTAGTTAATATGTTTAGTAGTTCTTATCCTTCTATCATTATTATTGTATTACTGCAAACAATTAATTTTTAATCTGTTTTTGTTTTCTCATTCATCATTGACAATTTGCTGATACTTTTCCAAGTCAAATGACAATAAAGGTATTTATTTATTTAAGTATTTGAATCTTTTACGAAAACTCTTTTGAATATTTGGCGGTAAAACTGAAACAAGGATTGAGAAAAACAGATCTTGATGATTTATAGTCCTATCTAAAATATACCTGAAAACCCGGCGGTAGACAAGGAAATGGTTTAATTTTAGACAAAATGGGTTTCATACTTGAAATGGATGGATTTTTCTCAGACATGTTCATACTGAGCTTTGGATTTTAGGGGATTAGAAATTATGCAGAGATGTCCTTTTTTATCTAAAAGAGTATAGCGACGTTTATGTGTTGCTAAACTATTTGCGTTCTTGTTTCTCTGGGCGATTCTCATGTTATAGTTTTCGCTTTGAAAAAGAACCTTAGTACAGTAAAATAGGTTACGGAGAGGTAGTTTGTTAATAGAACAGGTCCAGTTATAAATCCGAGCAATGTTTACGAAGATAAATTGAATGCCGACGACACTTTTCCTTTATCGTTTATTCTAGGGAAGAAAAAACCGTTGCAATACTTACGAGATCTGGTAGAATGGTGAGCTGGTGATCTATACCCGTTGTGCCTCTTGTGAGTTGGTGATCTAGAATTAGATCTGCTTCTATGCCTATGATTTGGCGAATCTTTTTTGAACGGTTCGGGAGAAATGCTCATGCTACGGTCGCGTGGCGAGTAGTCTCGCGACATTTTCGTTTTTAAAATTATGAAAATATAGTTTGTAGATAAAAATGGCGATTACCTACACGGTGTCGAGAAAAGTCACGACCTACTTTGCTTCACGCGCATATCGCTGATTTAGCGTCACTCGTGGTCATTTTTTCGAAGAATAAAAATTAAACAAATACGATAAGAAAACGCGAAGTTATTATCAGAATTTCACGTCGTCAGCATTTTAGTTAGCACAATGTCTACAATTTTGCTGACGCCAAGCATAAGCAACCAAGTGATCTTTACCGCCGCATACTTTGTTGCTACCAGTGTTGCCAGATGGATATTTCCCTCAGCAGTAGGACAGGACCAAAAAAAGATGCCCCTCTAGGACAGTAGATTTTAATAAATATGTATATTCTCTCATAAAATTTCATACACACAAAAAAACTAAATAAAACATACTTGTAAGTAAATACCTTCTTCCGTAGAAAGCATAAAACATCACATAAAGACAGCCAAATAGTAATATAGCAATAATATATAAAAATAAAAATAAACTTTGGCGATAAAACTAGTAAACACTACTAGAACTTAGTCGACATTCTGATATCTAAACGATAATTTGAAAGTACACAAGAAAAACTAGGATATTTCTTATTTCCGAAATTAAAGCTTTTTTTGTCAACGTGACAACATGGCACACATTTGTTATTGAGGCTGCAAATGGGCAGGCGCCCAAGGAAACATCTCCGTTATCCGTTGTGGGCGAATCTCGCCCTTAAGTATCCTACTAGGAATCTAGCCATTTTCCAGTTCTTCATATAACTCGATGAGCTTGGTGAAAGTTCTGTTTATTCATAGTACCTACACGATGACAAAATCTTCTATTTAAACGGATAACAGAAATGCAAAATAAATATTTGTAAATTGAATATTTTTTTAAAGAAAAAAGGAAACTCTCATAGGTGTCCAATTTGTCAATAAATTGTTAAGTTTACCGAAAAAATATCACTGAAGGTAACTATCTAGTGATAATGGTTTTACAACAATTTTGTTCAATCTCAAATTCCTATTTGAAGCTTTTAATCTAGTGGTGAATTTTGTAACTACTGGATTATTCGAGTCCAGGGTTGCCGTGTTGGAGGTTTTCCCCTCCCAAATTTGGGCGATTTTTTCCTACCACAGAGAATAAAATGTTCTGGAGGATTTTTTGCTTTTTCTTTCCTCATGCCCCTATCTCCACAAAACACCTACAATATTAATGTACGTTGGTAGACCTGAATCCAAAGTCATAAAATAGAAGAAAAAAAAACGATATAGTACGTAAGATGTGAACCGGCCGGTTGATCTAACTATACTTGTCTAACCCGTGTTAACTAGATGATTACTTGTCTTCTTCACAAAAGCTAATCAGCTAGGAGGCAACTTGCATGTTTAACGAATAACTTCTGGTATTATAAAGCTATAAATCACACGTTCCGCTGATAGAAAGCTCTACCCACTCCCCCTCCCCCATAGGTTTTTGAGCCAAACCAACCCCCTACCCGTTAAAGCAGTGAGATTTGTTTTTTTTTTAAAAAGTTGTGATTCAGGGGAATTTTTATGTCTGGGGGAATTCTGTCTGACCCATCTGGCAACGCTGTTCGAGTGTTTATACTTGTTACTGGATACTAGTACCACAGCTCAGGTAACATTCAGCTCAATCAGCGGAGAACGTCGAATGTAAATTCCCCCAGTACAACCATGAAAGTGGTTTCAGCATTCTGTACCACGATACACATACACTGAAGATAGGATATTGCGCATGTGGGCGTGTGGTTAATACTACATAGTGTGATTTTTTGGTGGTTTTGTGTCCTGTTCTATCAGTTATACATACTTTATCTAGCCTGTGTGGTTGATAAATTGTTAAAAATGCGATGTGCTGTTGTGGGATGTAATTCCGACAACCAGTCTAAACGGAATCCTTGCAAACACATGAAGTTCTACAGATTTCCGCAAGACCCAAACCTTAGCAAAAAATGCCTACCCTACGGAAAATATTTACGTTTGTTTGATATACTTAATTAGAAGAAATTGAGGAAACCAGACGGAAACAGCGGTAACATTTCTTTAAAATGATGCCATTTTGGTATCAAAGAATTTGCTCCCACATTTCATTTTGGGACCACAAGAAAATTTAGTGAAAGTTTCAAGAAACGCTATTATTCCTTTTCACATAAATCATTAAATTTGAACATCAGTGTCTGTAGTCTAGTGTCCGGAGGCGTACGTACCCTTAATCACGGGTTTCTATTGCATTTTTTCAATAATATTCGTATCTATAAAATGCTTTATTTTCTTCCCAAAATGGCTTATATAATACATCTATGGCAAAAATATAAGTCTACTACAACAATAACATAGCCTGAGCAATTAAATAGTTTAAAATTATTTAATCTCATCGATCGGGTTACGATATAATAAGGTAACATAGGGAGTATAGATTACAAACTGGCAAAGCTAATGATCGGTGCTCCATATTTACCGATCTAGTGTAAGCATACATACAAAATCATTAAAACGTAATTTAATACTTTGTATTGATGACATTCAAATTAGTATCAAAATTGTTAGCTATGACCCTGTTATAGCAAAATCCCAGACATTTGGCGCTCCCTATTGTAAATCAGTTATTCTAACCAGGTTTAGCCTTTGAATAATGGGCGCCACTGATACGGCATTAGGATTTATTAAACAAAAACAAGTTTTAATCCTTAGATAATGGTTACCCGTTTCGTTATTAAGATTTGTGGAACAAATTATACTAATTTGTTCAAGATCTAACCACCAAACTAATACTAATAACTAATAAATGTCCATACAAGTTGATTTTGAAATAGGTCAGAATAACATAATTCAAAAGAGAAACAAAAAAAGAACAAAAATTTGGGTCTGGATCGGATTTGAACCGCTGACCAAAAAATGCAATATAAACCCGTGATCAAGGGTACGCATGCGACGCTGGGATACAGACGCTGTTGCTCAATATTGCGAAAATGTCATCATAGTCCAAGGACCGAACTCTCAAAATGGAATTCTATGGTAGCATCATTTTAAAGGAATATTACTGCTGTGAAATGTGAAGAGGTAAAGATATGTTTTCGTCTGGTTCCTTTATTTCTTCTATATAAATATATCAAACACAAGCAAAATTTTTCCATTTATTGTAAATATAGAATAACAAATTTATTCTGAAGCTCGTAAATAAATAGTCGTCAATTACGTTTTTCTGATTGCAACGCATATCTGCGGCAGCTAGCATAGTATGCGGTAACACCGCCTAGGACTACTAATTACGGAACGCTGAAACCTCTTTTATCGTTGTACTGGGGGAATTTACATTCGACGTTCTCCGTCGAAGCCGGCGTCTTTGACGCTGACACGAGACTTTCATAACATAACTACTGATTGTTATTTGTTATCTAAGCTGAGTTAGTACTAAGTACACAAGTACAGTACTCAGTGGCGGATTTAGAACAGGGGGGACGCGGGAGGCACGCCCCCCACCTAGACGTCTGACACTTGCTTTTGTAATGTAACACCATTGTGTTGCTTTCTGACACATCATGGCGCCAGAGACATACTAACTATAAGTTATAGTTGTAGGAACGATTTTTGGTATCCTTTGATATTCCAAACGCTGCCTTCGACATCACTTACATTTACAGCACAATTCTTACGTATATACGAGTACTGTGACTTGTAGTCTAAGCAATATATTAGCTATACCGATTGCACTTAAAAAGTGATTTATGTTCTGTTTGTTGCTCAATAGTAATTTGAAAAGTGTGTAAAGCTTGACCCTGCATGGCCAGCCATATAGGACGCTTCAAAATAAATACTGTAGATGGCGCAACCTGCTTAAATTCAGAGGCAGATATAAACAATTCCAAGACAGGGCTGTACTCAGTGAAGAGGTACCGCTATATAATGAAAATATTGAACATAGCTTGTACTGGATTCGTGTAAACCAAGGGGGTGAAACGTCTTATGTGCCAACTGGCAACGTCAAGGCGTTGGTAAGGTACGGTATATGAATCGCAACAGCGAGTATGTTTAGTGAAGAACAACTTGAGAGAAAGAAAAAATGGCTGCCGGAGGGATTCGAACCCTCATCTGCTTCGTTTCCGTGGAGCCGACGTACCCAATAAGTCTGCAGCACCATCTGGTTTGTTTCACTTGATTGCTGACAGATGGGACAACAAGCAGCTTGAAAGAACAAAGGAACAGTGACGTGGGTAGGATTGAATTTGTCTCTAACAGTCTATCCTGAAAGTTGGCTGGCAGATGATGTTGCAGACTAATTGGTTAGGTCGGTTCCACGGAATGTAGGAGATGCTCAAGTTATTGTCTACTAAAAAATGTAATATTGGCCATTTCGCAAAATATAATTATGGGAGATGATTAGGGTATTGAGACACCATGCTAGGCTTATACTTCTTTACTTAACAAAATAAGGAGGGTGATATAAAATACACTTTATAAAAAATTAAATATATAAAAATGAACAGAGAAAAATAATACTTCCAATACTACACACATGAAAAATGATGATTAAATTATATCACAGTAAAAATGTAAAAAATGCTCAGTTCAACCCGTACAAAATACATTAAATAGTTGCAACATTAATTCTTCACGGTTGAGTCTATACTAACTCTGAAGACGGAAGAAACATAGCCTTCTATAGGAACTGCCTTCCGAAGAATATTTTTTTCAGGAATTTCAAAACATACATTATACAGATACTTATTCTCTCAGGTCTTGTGTAAGATTCAACCTTGACAATGGCCTACATCATATACTAAGAACTATAATACATATAAATTAGTAGAGCAGGCAAACATTACATACATTGGATTCATACATTCAACAATTTCACTATACATCTAAATACTAAGTTTGTGATTTTGACAATTTACATATCATAGCCCAGTAGAAATAGAATAATTTGCTACTATATTCCAGCCGTTACAAACCTTTGAAGGACGTTATTGCACAAGATAATAACCGTTATAGCTCGACAAATAAATTGGAGAAAAAATCGATTTGATGTTTTGCAGTAGTTGTAAATTGAAATATTCCGCATTAACTTCTGCAGTGTGGTCCTAATTTCACTGGGCAACATCTTCAAAATGCAGAAAACATGAACTGTAACTCGGTTACTCAGTAAACGAAGAGATCAATTTCATCGTATGTGTTCCACTTTTTCGTTTAAAATTTTTTTGAGATGAGTGTTTTGAGCTATACTGATTTTTTGTAAATATGCTGAAAAGACAATTGCGAATTGCTTTAAGCGTGACAATTTTGATACATTTTGTGCAACTGTATCATACAAATTCGAATAACTACATAAATTCCTATTGCATAAAGATGCTCAATTTTATTATCCTACACAGAATTAGTTTTTAGTGTGTTATCGGTCGATATTATAAAATCTCTTTGAAAAGAAAACGAAAGGCAAATACGCGGTCATTCCATGAAAAATATGCCGTTCACTACAGGGTGATTCATAACTACGTGGCAACACACAGATGCATTTCACAAAATTTAAAAAAAAAACGACCAAAATTTATGCATCTCGTATAGATGAAATATGACTTAAAAACTGTCAAAGTTGAATGTTCTTCTTGAGCAAGATATCCCACAATTTCAGAAGTAGCGATCCAAACCTTACAGTATGCTACATAAAACTTTTTACTTTGAATATGTCTTCCCGAATATACCAAAGTATACAGATGCATTCTTGTATTGCCACGTAACTTTGAATCACCCTGTAACGGAACCATTGACCGATTACATACTTAGAACTCACCCTGTACCTGTTCCAATAAAATTATTTCCCAGGATTAAGATTCAAATCAGCACTTTGTTGCTGTACAAAAACGAATGCAGTGCCATGTAGATAAAAATATTGAACATCCTGGAAGAGTGGTTTGACAAATTCTTTGAGCATAATGAAAATACGTAACAACTTTAGATAGGAAAAAATCCGCTAGGGATCATTGAAGTATCCACAAATTAAAAAATGCGCAAGCTCCTTAGAAATATGATCAATGCGTCTTGGAAAGTGATTACATTACATACCTAAGGATATGAGTGACATTTTTTTCGTAATATGAATTCCACAAAACATTGTATGAGATTGGAAAAATTCCACGATCACAGTGCTTCCACTTATGTGGGAACTGACAAGCAAACAGTATTGTTGATGGAAATGACACTTCATCTAGCTATTCCCAAAATTTCTTTGACCACATCGCGTATTTCTTTTTCAATCCTATTTGATTATAATACTGATTTCCTGATTACTGACCACTTGACTAATTCTAGGAGCAAGCGCATTCTATCACCACCATGTTATCCCACTTTTCCAACATCAGTTTCGTGGGGTTATCTTTATTCACTAAAAGAATATCTAGCGGTCCTAGTTTTGATGGTGCACAACAGGCTTTAGGAATCCTCCGCTTAGCACTGGAAGGATTGCTTTTTTCCATTTGGTGCATCAGACTTTGGATCCGTGAGTGATTAGTAGCATGATTGTAGTTTGGAGGGCATAGTCCGTAACAATATCCTGCCTCATACACTTTTGGCTCCATTATGAAATTCATCTCCGGGATATCTAGTTTTTTGAAATTCACTTTCATATTCTGTCTACAACATTTCCTCTTACCCTTTTCTCTATTTCTTCCTCTTTGACAATCAGTCCTCCTTTCAGGTCGATACATAACCGATCTACGGATTCTACTAGATTTCTTATGTACAATTGTCGTAATATAAGCTTCTAAAGGGTCTACTTCACAATTTGAGTCTAAGCAAACTAAGTCTAAACCTAAGTTGATATCTCCGTGCATCCAAGACTGCACAGCACTGGTAATATCTAGATCGCACCATTTAGTATGGTTCTGAGACAGGTACAAAGTTCTTTCTTCAAGGTATCTCTTTCTTCGAGCTCCGAGCACTTGGTTCACTTCTACTCTGATGGTAGTTGGTTTTGAAGTCTGGGGGGCTGCTAGGAACCTCAATTGAGCGTTTTTCACTTCATATTGAGGTGACGCAGGGACAGAAAATCGGAGTCTGTACGTGTCTTGCTTTCGCCTCCACCATATTTTCTTGTCTGAAACCAAAAATATACGATTAGTAAGAATTTGGTTATTGACGACACAAAGATGATGATATTTTTGTAAAGAAATACCGCACAGAACAAGAAAGAAAGTACATCCTACATTTTCTGGCTTCCAAAGATACGGAATTGCAACTTGTATTACCGCCTAAGATGGTCCAAAAAGTATATACAGGGTGGTCCATAAGTCCTTTGAAATTTCAAATTTGAATAAAATTTAAGTGGTGAGCGTGAACGGCGCGGGCGAGGTGGGGGCAGTATCTTCAGTGTCTGGGAATTCAGTCGCCATGGAGTGTTTCACTGGAGCGGATCGTGCTTTTTGTGTGCGCGCGTTTTATCAAAATAATGATTCGGCAACCATTGCGCGGCGTAAATATCGAGAATACCACAATTTGCACAATTTTACAAAGTGTCCACCAGCTCAAACGATTAAGAACTGGGTTGCTAAGTTCGAAGAGACTGGATCGACGTTAGATAAACAGCGGTGGGGTCGACCAAGGACAACTCGTATTGAAGAAAACATCAACATTGTTCGACAGTCTCTTCTTCAAAATCCTACCCAGTCTACTCGTAAGCGTTCCAGTGCATTAAACGTACCCAGAACATCTTTACAGCGGATTTTAAGGAAAGATTTACGTCTGCACGCTTACAAAATTCAGTTAGTGCAGGAATTAAAAGATAATGATGCTATTCAGAGACTAAACTTTGCGAATGAAATGTTGAATCGATTTTCTTCGCTCAATAATGTGTTGTTCTCGGACGAGGCTCACTTCCATTTAAACGGGCATGTAAATAAACAAAATTGCCGTTATTGGAGCCCCGAAAATCCAAGGCGGAAGCATCAGAAGCCCTTACACAGCCCTAAAGTTACAGTTCGGGGTGCTATGTCAGCGCATGGCATCGTAGGCCCTTATTTTTTTGAGGACGACAGAGGTCGCGCATTAACTGTTACTTCGGAGCGGTATGTAGCAATGATAGAAGAGTTTTTGACACCAGCGTTGCAGAATTTTCCAGGCTGGACCTGGTTTCAACAGGACAGAGCAGCTGCCCACACCTCCAACACTTCTATGCCCGTCGTCTGTCAACTTTTTCCCAGCAAAGTAATTTCTCGAAGGGGAGACATTTCCTGGCCACCACGTAGTCCAGATTTGACCCCAATGGACTTCTTTTTATGGGGCTACTTCAAGAGTAAAGTGTACGACACCACTCCGCGATCAGTTGATGTCCTGAAAGAAAATATCCGAAGAGAAATGGCAAGCATTACAGTGTTGACTTGCCGCGCAGTCACCGATAATTTTAGACGATGTGATTTTTAAAACATAATTCACATTCAATAAAGATGATAACAAAATATAATGATTCTTCAAAATGTAATTAGTTTGGTTTTATTCCTTTTTTTCCAGCTCAAAGGACTTATGGGCCACCCTGTATATATAGGTAGTGGCGAAATAATATCAACTAGGGAATCGTCACTCCGCCGTTGAAACAGTTTCTGGTAGGTTTTGGAGGTATCTGAAATGACATTGGGTATCCAAAATCTGCAGTTTGGTGTCTGTGATAAATCAGGTAGAGATATCGTCGCCTCTACCGAGGATCAAGAATAAAGAGAAGAAGGATTACTGGCGGTTGGTTCATCTGAAGCAGTTTCATATCTTTTATTGATTTCTACAGAGTAAGACTTAGTTTGGCTGCCATAGAGCAATTGTATTTATACAGAGTGATTCAGATTATTATTTTTACTAGTACTTGCGAAATACTACAAATAAAAAATAAATACAGCTGTCTTTTGTGTCCAAATTACAACTTGCTGTAACTCGCTGTAATCCCTTTTCTTTTAGACAATGTCTAAAACAACTACCCAATATCCTTTTTTTATTCATTGTTGTATGCAGGCATCAAAATCATCAACAGAACATCAGGCTTTATTTATTTTATTTCTATTGATTTTTACAACATTCAGGTGGTATCGGCGCACTACAATTACGCCAATTACAAAGTTGTAATTTAGACACAAAATGCATTTATTATTTTTTATTTAAAGTATTTCGCAAGTATTACGACCAAAAAAATCCTACAAATGTTATACGATTTTGGAAAGAGCATTCAATAGCTCATTTTTAAGGTCATTTGATCATTCAGTCTGGAACATTTTTTTCATAGTTTTAGTTAAACTTTAGTAAAGGTTTTCGCAGTGAAACCAAATTTAATAATTTGTTTTTTACCACATCGTGCTAGTTTTCAATGAAATAAATACTCAGTTGTCTCAACCGCGTATCAAAGGTAGCCCAGGAAAAAAATCGTAAGCTAGTTCTTTATAGCCATAACAGGCAAAAAAGGAGCAAAGAGTAGTGATTTTTTGAAAAAACCTATGTGGCAATATCTCGAAAACTAGAAAACTTTTATTAAGGTGATTTTTTGTTTATCTGATTGATCTGAAGCCAATCTATCTCCCATGTCACTCTGGCGTGCTATTTCTGGGACACCCTATATAATATGACATAATTAAATGAAATAATTTCTTCTTGAAATCCCAGTTCTTTTCAGGGCCGAAAAATCCTCTTATGAACCTTGATCCTGTGTGTAACAACCCCATTTTCAGTGCACTATTTCATACTTCTCATAGGAACTGAAACTAACCATAGAATTTGTAAAATTATTATACTGTTAGTAAGAACATCAAGCAAAAATACCATAAATGCATAAAAAGCTGACTCCCGACTTCAAATTCCAAGGTGATGCGGTAATTTTTTCATGTTTACTTGCAGGTCTTAAATATAGGTACCTGTTTCCAAATATAAGTGAACTCTTTCTAAAATTAAATACCCAAGTTTATTTTCAAATATATCATAAATTCGGTGCGAGCATTTTCGCGCAATGGAAACAAATTAAAAGTCGATAAAAAATATTTGGAATTTTATTAAAATGACTCATCTTCAGGCCGCAACTATTTACGTGGGATATGAACGCCAACATAGTATTATTTTGAAATCGCCACATTCATCAGAGAAGACTGTCGATTTGAATAAAATTGAGGTCGGAACATTTCAATTTTTACCAAATGATTCACCTAATGCGGGTTCTGAAACCTATCCAGAAGTTTTCAAAGTGATTGAAGGCATTTATTTGGAAAAGCGTAGATTAGTGTAATAGGTGTACCGATACGTCATAGGTTTTCTGGTCATAAAACGATCAGGGTTGATAAGGGGCTTACTTGGCTTTAATAACTCTTTCAATTTGATCGCATCTACAAAATTTCTACGTTTACATATCCCAGAAAGGACGTATCTTAGAGTTTTCTTGACATTTGACCTTTTATTTTAGTTTTTGACTGTTCTTTAAAAGCACAAGGTTCGCAATTTTGCTGTTTTCGACCAATTTACACCCATTTTCGAATTATCAACATCAAATTGAATCAACCATCTCATTTACTCTCAAAAATAGATTCGGTTCAGACCAGCATGTGGATTGAAATATAAATAAGATGAAATATTAATTTTTATGAATTGCCACGACGATTTTAAAGGAAATTCATATACAGTATATTCAGATAAGAGATAGACCGGATGTAAACAAAAGGTTCGGGTGATTTTCACGCTAACGCCGTCGTCTCGACGTAAAACAGGAGCCCTCATTGGTCAATTCGCAATTAAATGCCTATGCCGAGCGGCAGAGCAGTCGTATCAAGGCAGAGTCACATTCAGGTTCAGACGTGTTACGTATGTCGTGTGCATCATTGCAATTTGATATTTCTTTGGACGTTTTCGTTTGTTACCTTATTAAGTTGTTGAGTTTGTCGTTGTTATTGTTATACCTTGTTATAATTATAGGCTAATTTAAACGCCATTTTGAGATTATATTCGACTGTATTTCACCAAACATCAGGCGGCATCCGAAGCTGGAAATCGAAGCGAAAATTTTGAAACCCTTATGTATATTTACATCATTATATATTTCTTACCCCACCCCCACATGATCCTATATCCATCACCAATCGTATACACATCGAATTGTGCTAATTTACTACAAAGTTACGCAAAGCAGCATCTACTATCTAAAATATGTACTGCGTGACTCTTAATACGTCCCTGCCGAATGTTACAGCGTTCGATGATCACGTGGTCTTGTTTATGTCCGGTCTATCTCTTATCTGAATATACTGTAGTGATATTTAATGTTGTGTTGATCAACTGTTCCAATGCAAAGCTCAGAAATGCTCTCTATTGAACCTCCAGGGTGCCTTCGTGTCTGAGGGTTCACCTGCCTGCACCATTTTACGAAAACAGATGGAACTTAACGATATAATAAAAACCATGTGAACATTTACAATATACACACGATGATCCAGAGAAAATGGAAGGTTGTTTGATAGAAAAATAATATACGATATTCGAAAACGGTTTGATCAACAGGATCCACATCTTATACGTGTGTATGTATAAATTATTTGAAAATATGCAGGGTGTTGCACAATTGCGCGACACAAGAAACTTATTTTTCAATGGAACACCCTGTATTATATTAGATATTTGGAAAGACATCTCGGAAACGGTTGATATCATAATCTGTGCGATTTTGATCGTCATTTGTTTTATTGTTTCTATAGTATATCATCCATTTTTAGATTCTGTATCCGTTAAACGTTTGCAAAAAATTGCTGTATATTAATTTTGAACATAGTATGATCATGTTAGCTCGTATTTCAACTATCGCTATACGAATTTTCATTAAAATTGACCGATGACCAAATCCCAAATGTTTTGTGGCCGGTACTCTGTACATATTAATTCTTTCATTCTTGATTTTATCAAAAACACTTAAAATGACAGAAGCAGGTGCTACATTCTATAACGGTTGCGTAGACTAGCCAGGTTTGAAATGAAGTCACTATCGATAAATTTAGCCGATGTCGGAACTAGTTCGAGATTTATAACAGTTTTGCAATTGCTTCATTATCGGTATATCCCAATGCTATTTGTAATTCGTTCTCATAAACT